CGGGAATTAGAAACGACTGGATACTACTCAGTCTAATTACTCCCCCAACCCATTGTTATAGGTAAAATCGTCGATTATGCCTAATCACGATCAACCCGTGACATTAGTCAACAACCTTTTTCAGTAGCTGAAGAAAATTCTTAATTTCTAATCTCGATTCACGTTATAAAATTCCTTGTCACCAAACACTTTCTATAAATATAAGAAAACAATAAAAAAATTTTAAAAACAAACTGAAGTAAATTAGTATTTACTTTAGATATTTGGATCGCATGTACTCAACAACCATTTCTTGGAATTACTGTTCACTGGATCGATTCTGAATGGACAATGAGAACTCTTCTTCTTGATCTTATTCACTTGCATGACGCTCATACTGGAGAATATATCAGAGAAAATGTTCTTAAACTTGTTGAGGATTTAGAAATCAAAGAACGGATAATCAGTTTTACTGGTAATAATGCAACAAATAACCAAACATGTTTATGTTATCTTCAAAGATTTATAAATCCCAACTTTATATATGTGTATTGTGCAGCACATATTATAAATCTTGCAGTCAAAGAAGGTCAAAAGAAATATATAAGCAAATAAAAAAGGCACGTCAGTTTTGTAATAAAATAAAAAATTCACCTTTGCTTCTAGAGGAAATGAAAAGAATTTTCGCCATCCTAAACTGTTCCTTTCTTCATCCTGAACTTGATGTTGAAACGAGATGGAATTTTACTTACTTGATGCTTAAATAGTTTATTGAAATCTGAAATATTACTGATGGTCTTATGTAGTCCCACCCAAAATTAAAACAAGATTATTTAGAAACTAATAACTGAAAATAATCGAGATAAATAATACAATTAAAAAGCAAATAAATTAAAAAATAAATCAACTTATCTTATTTTAGGATATGATGCAACTTCTTGAGCCTTTTTATACAGAGATTTTGATTTGTCAGAACTGCACAACCCTCTCATAGATCCTTGCGATTAATCATTCAAGATCTTTTGGCGCATCTTAATCACTATACTTTGTTTAGCATCCATTATGAAGCAGCTCAAGGAATGAAGAACAAACTAATAAATTATTGGATTTATCTTTCACAATCTTCCACTATTCCCGCTCTACTTAATCCATCAACAAAGTTCGAAACCTTTAATGGAAGTGATCATCAACTGGTTACCAATTGCTTAAAAATTTCTTATTCATTATATCAGACAGATGAGATAATGATGGTTCCTAAATCAAATTCATTAGATATTTTCCGAAAACTGGTACGATCAAATGAAAATGAAGAAAATGAAATAGCAAATGAACTGGCCACTTATTTTTTTTTACCTCCGGAACCAAAAATTAAACCATTGTTATGGTGAAAGATCAATGCTCACCGTTTTCCGACTGTAGCTCTTATGGCAGTAGATTATTTTGCTTTGCAGGCTACAAGTGTTTCTTGTGAGCGTGCCTTCTCTGTAGCAAAGAATACAATTGAGCTTACAAGAAATTGTTTTCTTGAAGAAACGGCAAGAGCTTCATTATGCTTGAGAAGTTGGTTAGAAGCGGGAATTCTAGATTAGATGAACATATAATACATATATGTAATACAATGTAACGATAAATAATAAATATATCACATGTTTATCAGGTGAATTTACTTAAAGCCGAGCCTGATTAAGACTCGGCTCCTGAAGCAAAGCAGAACCAAGTCGAACTTTTAACATCTCTAACCAGTAATCAAAATTAACTAATTTTTTAAAATATATTTAATTTTACAAAATAAAAAAATGAATAAATTCTGATTGCTAGTTATTGAAATATTTATATAATTACGAACTATTATATTTAAAAATTTAAAAATAATTTATTATATATATTTTAAAGTAATTAATAAAAAAAGTGTCCAATACGTACTTTTTATACCCCTGCATGAAGATCGCAGGTCCAAATTTTTGTGTCGAAAAAAACCCCAAAAGTAAAAAATCGTCAATAGCTCGAAATTTTATTAAGTAAACCAAGATCGGGTAACTAGTAAAAATGCTCAGCTCGAAATTTTGCTTATAGTAATGTCTTGGACCCTATGATTGTAAGTATAGGTAATCAACACTAATCGTATTAAACAAGTGTTATTACAGAAATTGATACCACTAGAAGAAAACACATTGGAAACATTTAAAGTTTTGGCCGTTCCACCGCTTTCCACTTAGATTTTCCTAGTGGTAATAAAATGTCCTTTAACGGTATGGACTTGGAATCCTGCAGATTACCTAGAGGTTTTCTACAACAGAAACCATTACTAAACCTCCTCTTTTTACCAGTGAAAGTGATATGTTATGAAGAAAGAACCCGTGTTTCTTAAAGCAAAAAGACCTTACTAATGCAAAAAGAACAAATGCTATCATCGGTCGAAAAATGTTAGTTTTACTTGGTTAATATAATAGTGGAAAATATAATTTCATCATTTTTTACCATTATTTTGCCTCGATATTGCCAGATAAAACAAATCTTTTCGACCAGCGTATTCCTAAATGTAAATTCAATTTTTTAGAAGCATATTATCGTATTGAACATATTTATTTATTAAAAATATATAAATCTTTCGAATGGCTTGTGTAGATGGGTATAACGTAAATTTATAAACTCAAGACTATTAAATTTTGAATTTACAAAAGTTGTTTTTTTTACTATTAAAGATTGAATTATTAACTTGCTGCTTTTTCTCAATTATTACATGTGTATCTCCAAAGAATGAATGTGATGTTATTCTAGATCAATTTGCGAACTTTTAACATAACGATGAAAGATATTCATGACTTTCAAATATATATTATAAAAAATCCAATTGCTAACACTATGTTGTTTAAATAAAATTTAATATATGTCAGACTTACTATTTTTTATCTTTTCTAACGGAATATCAGTTTGGCAACAAATTCTCGTGTTCCATTAATGATCTTAAAGGTAGTAACATGCATTTCATTTCAAATTTGTGTTTTTCCTTTCAGATGTGCATCTATCATGTCACATAACATAAAAATTCGGAATTTCTATTAAACGCGCAACTACAGTTTATTTATACTGTAAAAGGTAATATGGTAATAAAGATATATTATTGTTATATCGATATTGATTATGAGATTCATCATAACGATAAAGAACGTATCGTTATGCTAAAATGTGATTTATGTGCATAACATACGTAATTCTGGAAGTGATGTGATTTATTAAATCATTTCACCACACCATACCGATACGTAGAGTTCTGCAATGCATACATGTACATAGTACATGTATTACATCAAAACATAAAGGTTGTCTTTGCTTACCAAGGATGTAGACTTACCGTTATCATCATCCCTTCTTTATACATGTACATGTACATGTACAGTACTTATGTATGTTTTCGCCACATCTATGAAAGAACTTAATACATGTATATGTACATGTATGATCAATAAGCTTTCATCATTACTTCGTTCAATGCATACGTATTTATTTTATCAGCATAAAAGTTGCAGTTTGCCTCGGCTTCATCAATAATAAAGGGATGAAATTTACATTTCAACATTCATTAAAAAAAAATTACGTACCTCTATTTACAAAATTTATACATAATGTTTATTAAAAAGACAACTTTATTTGCATTTTTTGTCTCTTTTTCATTCGTTGCTCTTCTAGCTACACTTCCAGCTACTTCCTCTAATCTTCAACTTCGCCAAAATGAAATATTTGTCGCAGAATTCACTAAAAATGAGGAAAGTATAGTTACAGGAAGAGTTACGTTTGTTGCCGAAAATCCATGCAAAGTAACAATAAAGTTTTATGAAGGATTTACCGAACCGGAGCCAAACAACTATCAGTTTTTTCTTAATAATCAGGATATTTCAACACAAGCGATTCAAAATCTGATAATCAATCCTCCTGAGACATATACGACTGAATTTGAAATCGATAAAACTCTTTGTGAAAAGCTTGACGGTAAACCGTTCGTTATTAAACACAAAAATGATCAAATTGGAAAGGCCACAATTGTTAGTGTAGAATGATAATACATTTTAATTTGCTAGAAGTAAATAAGTTTAGCATGATTTCTATATATGGATTTATTTATTTCATAATTAACTTAGTACAATTTTACTATCATAATTTTGTGTTAATGAAATGCTGTATTAAAAGCTTAATAGCAATTAAACCTCATTTGTTAGAGTAAATATTTCTATCTTTCTTTTAAATATATGAAAAATTTTTTAAACTTCTGCAGTTTGAACAGAGAATTTTTCATCCCGAACATTCGGTAATAATGCCCTGAGTGGTTAGACACTAAATAGCAATTAAACTAATGATAAGTACGTAATTGGAATTTAAGCTGGTTTTTAACGTTAACGTTAAAGTTGGTCTACATTTTATAATACCCTTCATTATCGTAATGAGAATTAAACTTATGTTTCTCCGTAGCGCGCGTACATAATGCATCATAAATAATGACGATAAGATTTTTTCGTGATACATGTACAATGCACCATTTTTGGATATGTGATTCATACCGATACCGATACCGATACCGATACTACGTAATACATGTATTATTTTCGTTTCAAATATATGTAATCCGGAGATCTTACCAGAAAAATCCATTATTGTACATGTATTTTCATTCAACCACTATCTTATTGGGAAATTACGGTCGATACTCGACCTGGGCTATATCGGGCTCATTTGACTCCCAAAACGATTTTTAATTTGGCCCAATTTTTGGCTAGAGTTAAATTCCATATGATTTCACTACACAGTCAACCTCGCCTCGCGGGCTGCCCAGTTTGGTTCAGTTCTTTCCTTATATAAGCATCATCTCTGCCATGTTATCAAAAACAAAATAATCAAATAAACTCCCAACAAAGTTCCTCCCATTTCAACAAGCTCGATACATAATGCATTTGAATCGCCGACCTGTTTTGATCCTTATTCTCGGATTTGTCTTTTCCCTTCTCTTCGGTATCGTTTCTTCCGCCGATGAACTACTAAGTATCAAACAAATTTTACCTTTGCCGACCAAAGTTAAAAAAGTTAGTGACAATAGATTGATTGTAGAAGTTTCATGGGATGGAACTAATGAAGCAGATGATGGTATATCTCAAGAATTCTTTTTTACTTTACATTTTGGACATTAGATTTTAAATAATTTCCACATTCTGTTTAACTAAACTGAGTATTTTTCTAAAAAAAAAAAAAAAAAAAAAAAAATAGAAAAAGTCAAATCTAGACTTAGGTGCGGGCCTTCTGATGCCGTGACTGTCAAAAATTCACCTCAGGTAAATTAAATAATAAACTATTTATTTTTTTTCCAATTATGCTAATTCTTAATTTCGGTTTCTAGCATCATGTATTTGGTGATCATAAGACCACCTACGAAATAGTCGTTCACAAAAAAAATACCAAAGTGAAGTGTAGATCTGGAGTTATTGATATTCAGCGTTTCATACACACATTTTCTTTTCGGACTTGATACTAATTTGACGATGATTCTCGAGCTTTTTGTCACGTTAAAGTTTACATCAAAACTTTTTTATTACTACAGTCCACCCGGAAAGTAATGGCCGGCGGTTCTTTTATTATAATTTTCTTACATAATGATTTAATTTAAAATTATATTTTATAATATATATAAGTAAGACTTTATATCCTAGAAATATTAATATTTAATCTATTTTTTGTTAATATTAATGTAATAATTTATTTATTAAAATTTCCAAAGAATATAAATTTTTTACTTTTTTAAAAAATATTTTAAGAAATAATTAATATTTTATGCTGATTTTTTGGAATTAACTAGATATAGTTCAGGGAATTTTTTTTTAATGGTTAAAAACCGATTTAATAATGTAGTTTTCGAATTATTGAGCTTTGTTTAGTGGCGATCCCTAACCGAACCATTTGTAAAAACCTTTAATATTCAAAAACTTTATTAAGAAAAAGTGTTCAGCCGATCGATTTACAGTTATCATAAAATTTCAGAAAAGAGACATTTTCTGTGATTTTTAATGTTAATTTAAACGTCAATCGCCCATTACTTTCCGGAGGAACTGTACAAGTCTTTCTTAGCTATATTCTTTTTTATTAATCATAAGCATATACAAATCATTTAGTACATGTACATGTAGATAAAAATTTTTGGCTGTAACGGTAAAGGCATCGGTATCGGTATGGTTTCACCTGTAAAAAATATGTAAACACATGTATATGTATATCGATATGGTCTGAAAAAGTATCGAACGGTACATATGTAAATCTAAATCTTATGAAAAAAAGAAACTATCGTTATGATTAAATATTGGTATAATGTAAACTCGGAATAAACGTACACTCCCCTGACAAAAATCACCGGTCAATGGTCAAATTTATTAATAAAATATAATAAAAATTAAAATTTTCTCACTATATTAAAATGTAGATAATAACTTGTAGTTTAATATATTTTTTTCTGGAATTTTTGAATTTATCTAGAAAAATTTTTCTAATTACAAAGTCAATACAAAAAATCTCAGAAAAAAATATATTAAACTACAAGTTATTATCTACATTTTAATATAGTGAGAAAATTTTAATTTTTATTATATTTTATTAATAAATTTGACCATTGACCGGTGATTTTTGTCAGGGGAGTGTACATGATGAATGAAAAAAGTAACAAAAATGCATTTTTGTTATGTATCGGTATAATCTAATACACATAAAAGAAGTAGATTAACTTTTATATTAATAAAATAACTAAATTTTGATAGAAATATATGCTATGGTACTGAAAATTTTAAGTATTCAGTTTCTCCTAGCATTAATGAAACAGTCGATATAGTGGATAAAGATCTTCTGGAATGTTAAATTTGCACCACCCCCTTATAGATGTCTGATACAAGATAAATATAATGATTCCGCTCACTGAATGGTCGTCGTCTGTTACCGTTACGATCTCGCATATTATCATAAATTATGGTTTTTCGTTTAGCACCTCTGTTCTCATATAAGAACACAAATTTTTGATCAAATTTTTCTATGCTGCTAAGACCTAAATCAGCAATTTGAAGAAAATTATGCATTAATATAATCCCAGGGTGAAAATCACGATGCACAAGTTCATTTTTGTGATATTAATTAAATACATGTACATGTAATTAATTTACCTTTGGAATGTTTTTCGTCTTCTGCATAATCGCTATCAAGTATGTAGCTGGGGTTTCTAGTTATCCCATAATAATTTGTTACATCGTAATACCTGCACTTTAGAGCAGTCTGAATCTAAGTTTGAAAAGTTCATTTTACCTCGTTTAAAAATCGGATGTAATTTGCTTTTTTGAATCGTGTAATAGTTTCAGCACAACGTCGAGTTCTCCATGTCGTTCATAGTTATTTCCTTTATGATCACAATACCATAAATTGTCTCCAAACCTCCTTTTGCAAGTTATTCAGCATTAGTAAGTCTTTCAAAAGGGATATTTATATTTATCCATATCGATATTATCGTTACTGCATTCTTTTGATTAGACTGTCGATCTCTATTTCCGCTAGACCATTCAGCTTTATAACTTTTATAACTAATTCGTTTCGAAAACACTCATCGCAGTACTTAATTTCGAATTTACAAAGACAAAAGTAGCATTTACTCAATGAGTCACTGCATAGTTGGACGCCTAAACCATGTGATGCTATTTGGCACACGGTTTAGGTTATAATTTAGGATTATACGGTTTTTACAACTCTATAGCCGTAACTCGTGACAATTAAGCGTCACCGGTTTAGGTGCCCAACTATAATAATCATGAGGATTATACTTTGAGCATTCATTGCAGTAGCCGTAGCAATATTTTTGACAAAGAGCACATTTACTACAATCATGAGTATTCAAAATTTCAGATGCCATCTTTATTAGCGTTAGTGATTATGGCAGTGTTTTGTTTAAAAACGATGATTTATCGTTATGTTTTTTATAGTAACATTGATTTCTACCTATCCATAAAAAAAAGTCTTTTATGATTCTATTGTTATGTGTAAATAATAAAAAAGGCTCTTTTAGAATACAGCAAATGCGTGATATGTCATTTTTCATGCGAAATTCTAATGCACGTTAACTTAAATTGAAGGTTTACGAAGATATAGCGATAAGAATGGTAACTCGTTTCAATTTTATGGGTCAGAGAAATTTAGTTCTCTACTTGTATAAAATATAAGAGCTCATAAAAGAGTTATGAATAGGAATAAAGTAAATAAATTATGATAAATGTAATCGTAGTGGTTAAAAATAATAAGAATAAATAGATGCACTAACACAAAGAAATAAAAGTCGCTTTATGCTTTAACTCGAAACTCCATCAATCGTCAGGATCATGTTTTTTTTAATAAATTCAATTCAATTTAATAAAGTGTAAAGTATAAAGTAAAGTAGTCACCATTTCTTTTTTTTACTTTGTTGGAAGTTTTCATCTTGAATCTGTAGTTTTTCGTGCAAGTCACTCGATATCTCTTGGTTTTAAATGGTACTTATACTAAAATCCGAACCTACTTTGAACCACCAAAGAAAAAATAATAATTAATTAAATGACAACGGGTTGACGTATGTTGTTTCAGAATTCCAAAATGACATAGCTGTACAGAAATTCAATAATTTCTTAATTAATGGATTTACCGTTAGCGTTAGTAATTTCTTTGTGTCAATAATACATGTAGTAATCACAAAGCAGGTCGTTATTTATGAGCCGAAATGGATATTCAGGATAGCACAAACCATCAATCCGGCATTAAAATCCGACACGCCATGAAAGAAAAATATATCTTGGAGCACTGATTAAAATATCGGGAACGAGATTCAGTAATACAAAGCGAGTGATAAATACGTGTTAAGGGTTAACATTGTATGAAAATCACCCTTTAATTGGTGATCAAAGCGAAATTTTCTTTGCTTTTGTTTTTTTTGCGTGTCAGATTTTAATACCGGGTTGATGATTTGTGTTACCCGGAATATCCATTTCGTTAGAGGAGCGCCAAATATCAGGTGATT